CTGTAGTGTCCAGTCAGTGTGTCTGGACTGTATTAACCCCTCTCTCTCTCAGTGCAGTGTCAGCACTCTCTGTAGGGTGTAAAATTAGAATCTATGGTGTACAAGTGCCTGTAATGAACTTGAACAGGGACACTGGGGAAGTCCTAGGGGCTGTTTCAAATTATGTTTCAGAAATACTTCCATCCCAACAGCTTCTACTTTAACCTTCGGTGTCATTGCATTCAGACCTCAGGGAACAAGCCCCATGCGGTGAAACTAAGAGGGGCGTATAATCCACCAATTAAAAACAACACCCGCGCGCCGCAGCGGAGCACAGCAAGGAAACACTCCCACAGCACATTCCCCAGATCCAGGGCCCAGAAGCTGCAGGCTCCCAAGAGCAAACTTTCACAAACTCAGCCCATCGAGCCTGCGGGGCAGTTAATGGCCAACTGGTGCAAAGACTTGTTTCAGCTCCTTGCTGAAAAGCAACAACGTGGCCGTGCAGCTTGATCCACCATCAGTGTACAGAACTGCCTCCTGTCCTGACTGGAGGATCTTATCCAGCTGTACACTGACAGGAGCCCAGATATCGGCTTCAACACCACCACTGGGCAGCTTGTTCCACACTCCCACCACCCTTTGTGTGAAGTTACTCCAGCTCTTAAATTTTAAGGCTCTTCCACTTGTACTCTGATGTGCTGGCCAACAGCAGGTGTTTGAGGGCACTCGCAGAGAATCGCACATCCGTAGCTGCACGAAGCCGATGAAAAGATCCGCAACCTCACCAACCACAGGAAACCACAGTGGGCCAGATTTTGGCTGCTTATCGCTGCAGATCTGCACTATCTACTGCTCTGTCTCTACTCCAGCTGTGCGCATGTACATACAGTGGCTTCTCTGAGGGAAGACGCGCACCAGTGCGGTGTACCAGCAAGCCAGGCCCACGGCTCCTTCCCCGTATGTTTCTCAACGGGCAGGACAAGCCCCGATCACGAGCGCGCACACAGCCCCACCCCCACCTCAGCGCACCGTGCGGAAACCCTGTGAGCAGTCACACCGCCCGGCAAGCTCCGACACGCTCAGGGAGAGGGAATGCACAGATAAAGAGAGACGCAGGGGAGATACTGGAACCGGAGAAAGAGGGGAAAGTATTGAGCACAGCGGCTCGCAGACTGAAAGAATGTTTAGGTAACAAACAAGTGGCAGCCATTTGACTCCTCTTGTTTGTCTGGTAGTTAGCTGATCATTGACCTGAGGATCTTGACAGAAACCGGGGTATCGGCTTCTGCAATATGGGTGCTCAGACCTGCTCCACACTCCCACAACCCTCGTGCAAAGGAGCTGCTCCTGTTCTCGGATTCACGCGCACCGCTCCGGAGTTTGCCGCTCGTGTCCTCC